CAGAGGCATGCTGGGGAGAGCACCTCGTGCCAGGGCTGCCCGTCCTGCAGTGCACGGGAACTCCACTGCCGTCACCACCTTCCCTCCAGAGCAGGATCAAAGAGGCCGCGGCGGCTGGTCAAGCTGAGCCGCTCCCCCGGCTTCCCTCTCATCTTGCCCTGCCCGAGAAACTTTGCGGCATACTGACATCACTGGGGGATGCTCCGGAGCCCACTCTGCCTGATAACGTTTTTTTTTCCACGGTGCAACATGCTTTCTGAGGAACAGAAGTGACCTGGCCAAGCAGCTCTGCTCTCAAATCTCCTATGTGCCCATACGGGACTTTATTTCTCACTCGAAAGGAGACGGAAAGGGCTGGGGGCTACAGACAGCAGTTTGCCTCAAGTCCCATAGCAAAGCTGCAGCAAAGCCCCTCCACCTCGCCACAGGAATTAACCACCACACCACGTTTCCTCCTGCATCAACTTAAAACCTCACTCAGATATCCTGGGCGCCAGGGTTTAGGAACTGCCCATCCAAAGGTTCAGCGACCCGATGAGGCGACATCGGTGTCACCGCCGTGCAGAAAACAGTGCCGAGTGTCCACCGCTTCCCTGATGGTCGGTGCACGCTGGTTTCAAGGCGGCACTTGGCCGGTAGCCAGGTGTGGGGAGGGCAGTGCCGAAGGTGGGAGGCTGCTTCTCATTTCCTTCGGGGTTTCCTTTCGCCTTCCCTTTCCTTCCCACTCCAGCCTGGGGTGGGAGAGGGAAGGAGGAGAGAGGCACACTTGCAACCAAGGCAAGGAAAACCCTCCCAAAACCCAGTTTTCAGAGCCACATCTGCTTCCAGCAGACCTTTGAATGCTGTATCCCATTTTGGCGCTCAGCCCATAGCCGAGGGTGACACACCAATGCCGGAAAATCTTTTCCCCCCCTGTGCCCCAAAACACAAAGCAAGAAGAGGAGAGAGAGCTGGGAGGGCGTCAGCAGCGCAGGCGGAGCTGGGAGGCCACGCTGCCGCCGCGAGCCCTCCCAGCTGTTAGCAATCACGCGCCGCAGGGGTCAGAGCCGGCACAGATCCCAAATTATTTCTTGCTTCAATGCCGGGCGTGTATTTTGGACGGTGTTTTTCCAGCTCTCGCCGGGGAAAAACATCAGCCCTTGTGCCTACCGGCATTGCCACCGCCAGCGGAGCAAAGCCCGGGTGGAGGTTTTGGGAAAGCAGGCGTCTCGTCTGGAAAACAAGGAAGACTTCATTTTGCAACGGAGGAAGGTCGGGGGGCCACGGCAAAGCAGGGAGGGTGTCCCGGCGTTCATCCTGGCTCCTGTTTGTCTGGGGCTTCCAGGGGGAAAGGCAGCTCCTGCACCCATGTGCTGCACAAACCAGAACCACTGGCACAAATCCCCTTCCCACAGAATGTGTAATCACAGCACACCCTATTTTCTCCCCCATTTTTTTTAGGAATAAATGCTGGTAGGTTCTCTCAAATCCAGCCTAACCCTGCCACAGACCACCATACCACGGATGAGCAACCCAGACTGCAAAGTCCACCCTATAAGAGACTTAAAACATTGCAATAACTGATAATAAACCCCATTTTTTCCTCTTCTCTACCAGCCCGCAGTTTCCAAAAGCCCCTTCTCATCCCAAAACGTCCAGAAGCCCTTTACAAACTGCACTTCGGCCCTGCACCCATCAGCACACAAGACCGGGAAACAAGATATC